ATGGGGCGGTTTCGCCATCGTAGCGCAAAACAACCTTACCCGCGGCGGGCGACAAACAACCCTGGACAAGGGAAGGGGAGTGACATTCTCGCCGCGCAGCACCGGGGCCCACATGCTTACCGCGAGCGCGCCGGCTTGGCCTCCCCGCGGCCCCCGAGCGTCGGGCACCAGCGGCCGCTCTCGCCTGGGGCCCTCCCCTGGCGTGCCCTTCGCCGCCTCCGCTCGCGGCGGCAGCCCGGGCGGTGCTCCGCTCCAGTGCGGGGGCGGCCTCGGAGGGCCCCGTGCCTCGGGGGCCCTCCTCCTCCTCCTCCTCCTCCTCCTCCTCCTCCTCCTCCTCCTCCTCCAACACTCGAGGAGGAAGGAGCGGCACAAGCACGAGCTGTCGGCGCTCCGCGCGGATTCCTTGGATCCGCGCTGGGGCGCCTCCGGCGGGGCCCCTGGCGCGCGGCGTGGCGACGGTGCGCGCGTTGACCACGGGATCCCCGAAGACCCCGCCGCGCGGTCCGTCACCGCACGGTCTTGGGACGTACCAGCTGGGAACAGATCCCCGTCCCTGTGAGTGGCACCACCTCATCTCGATGCCGATCTTCAGGATTCTCTCAGCTTCAGAGGGCGCATTCCGAAGACTGTTCTCGCCTGTGGGCTTGTCAATCTGGGGGAGGGAGAGGGATAAGTCCGAGGCTGGTTAGACCCTGGAGGCTGGGACCAAGACCGTGCGGTTCCCCCGGGTCGCCTCTGGCTCACCACACGGCTGGGACCCAGGCCGTGCGGTCCCCCCGAGCCCCTGCTGGCTCACCACACGCTGCGGTGGCCCCTCGCTCCGGGACACTCTGCCGCGCCCCAGCACCACCCAAAGACGTGCTCGCTCAGACCTCGATCCACGTGCGCACCGCGACAGCGTGTCACCGCCCACCAAACCACCCCAACCCAACCCGAAGGCCCCGATTCGCCCTCCATTTCCAGTTGGGGGGGATCGGGGAACGTTGAGAAAACACATATGGATCCCGTACCCCCCCCAACCCGAAATTCGGGTCTTCGGGTTGGGTTGGGGTGGCTTGGTAGGTAGTCAGCGTGGCCACAGACCTCAGCAACGCGGCGGCACCGTGCGGCTCTGCAGCGCGGCGGCGGCACCAGCGGCCGGCCTGGGTCTCGCCGCTCTTGCGCCTCCGCCGCTCGCGCCGGCCAGCGGCGCCGCGCCGGGCCGTTGGCGGCCGCGGCCGCGGCCGCGCGCGGCGCCTGGCCGGGCAGAGCTCGCGGCGGGAGCAGCAGCTCGAGGGGAGGGCAAAACGACGCGAAGATCGGGACAAAATCGGATCGGGATAACTCGAAATCTCTGAGAATCGGCGGGTTTGGAGGATGTATTGGGCGCCGCGGCCGCTCCAGAGCGTTCCGGAACGCTCTGAGAGCGCTCCGGAACGCTCTGGAGCGATTTATCCCGATCCTAGCCCTGTTTTAGAGGGCCAGTTTGGATGAGGGGGCGTAGTCGCCACGGGGGGAGGCGGGGCCTGAGGGAGGCGGGTCCTGAAGTTTGTTCCGCCGTTGTGGGCTTCCCGGGGCCCCCTCCGCGGGCCCCAGGGCCCGTCAGCAAGCGGCTCAGGATGGAGGGCTCGTCCTGGAGGAAGGCCCGGGGGTTCAGGACCCGTTCCCCACAGGACCCGCCCCCCCCAATGCTAAAGTGGTAAGTGGAGCAGGAGGAGGAGGAAAAGGAGGAGCGGTACGAACGACGGGCTGAAGGGGGAGGGGGGACAGGAGAAGGATAAGGGGGATCATCGACGGCCAGTTGAGAGAAGGAGTGGGAGGGGAGCAGGAGGGGGGGGAGCATGAGAAGGAGGAGGACCAGTTGAGAGGAAGAGGGGGAGCAGGAGGTAAGAAACACATTGGCTATGACCAATATGTCGCGGCTCTTGTCGACGCCGATGTTGGTCATGGTCCATGCCGGCCGTCGCCGATTTGCGAGGATGATCCACGAATTGATGCTGACCAAGATGGACGGTGACTAAGATCGGCACGACGCTTCGGCGTTCCGTCTTGGTCATGGTTCTCTATTTCTTCCCTTCCAGGGGCAGGAGGAGGACAAGTGCAACTTCACGACATTCACGACGGCAGACGGCAGCAAGAGCCAAGACATGAGCAGGACCCGCATGCAGCAAACGACCGACAAGCCGAAGCCAATGAGCACTGAGAAGAGCAGACGTTGGCGGCTTACGTGCAGCAGCTAGCACAGCCTTGGCATAAGCAGCAGCAGCATCGCGACGCGGTATCTTTGTGATGGCCCGATAAATCTGATCACAGCATCATTCAAGCCTCTAGCCTGAGCATCCGTGAGATACCCCCAAGTCCCCGACTGAAAGAGTTTCCCACAGCACACCAAAGAATCCAGTAGCATTGTCGCCGCGCCCTGCTAGATGGAGGACTGGCGTATGACACTAAAGCGAAGAACTTTCCAAGCTCCAGCACAGCTCTGGGAACGGTGGGCAAGCTCAGGACCCATGGAACAATAGTCATCCTGCGTAGCCCCGAAGTGAACATACTGATGCACAGCGTGGACCACCAGAGTCCCAGCGAACTCCGTAGGAGCCTGAAGCTCACCCCGGGGGAGCTCACCCCTCTTTGGCCGCCTGGGAACCAGAACTTCGAAATTGTTGGAGGAAAGCTGTCTTGCCCACATCCGTGTTGAGGCGAAATCCTCACACTGCGAACGCATCCGCAACTTCGGCAACGAGCAGCGGCGCAAGCGCGAGAAGCTGGCGGGCGTTGCCCAAAAAGAACAGTACGGCATCGTCAAACAATGGCACCATCCAACGAGTGAGAAGCCCTGTCCGGACCCTCCTGCTCTACTGAAGTAGCTAGCGTAGCATAGGCATGCGTAGGAACCCTGAGGACGATGCCCACCGGCAACAGCTTGGCTCTGACGAGATCCAGGGTGGCCCCCATGACGAAGTTGAAAACGACATCCCCCAACTGCTGCCCAGGACCCGAGCGTAGCACCTTGAACGTAGAGCCAAGACGGGTCATACGCTTCCGCAACCTGCACAGCCCGAAGAGGAGAGGCCCCACTGATTTCGAGCAGACGCGGGTGGTCCCGAATCTACTGTTGCAAGCGTGCCACAGTTTCCGGAGGGAGACCACATACACACAGCAACTTAGCCAGCGACTCATCGTCACATGACAAGCTGACGGACCGATGTGTAATTCGCTTGAACCACACCCATGAAACATTATGAGCACAGACACGTTACGAGCGACAGCTAACTAGCTGTTGAAAGAGGCGCAGCTCCACTGCTCCGAACTCTATGCCACGACCCGGGAGATCGCCGTACTGCCGTTCCCCCGCGAAACTCACAAAAGACTTCACAACCTCTGCCGAGTGATACTAAAATGCCGGTTCCCAAGTTGCGAGGAGCCCAAGACGGACCTATGACACCCCGCGTGCGAGACCGAACCAGATTTGAAGAGGATCCAGTAGAAGCCCACTTTCCACTGAATGGGCTCACAGACACGCAAAGTAGATTTGTTGGTGATGGGGGTACAAGTACTTTGAAGTCGGGCCTGTCCCCCTACAGGAGGAATGTTCTAAACTAAAATAGTCAAACAATAGTCTGGGGACGATGTTTCCCAATATGTTTGAGCATTTGTTGGCTCTTTCAAACTATTCGCCCAAAATCGCCCTGTAGGTGGGATATGCCCGACCTAAAAGTACTTAGCAAGCTCGACCGCGAAGGACGATACGACTCGACCAGAACTTCCGCTGGGGCCTGCAGCGGACGCCTTCGAACGAGCAAAGACGGACTCCATGAGAGCGAGCGAGGGTACAGTGGAGGCCCATGCCAATAAACACCCTGCTTGCCTCTAGGGTGCCCTGGGTTTCTTGGGTGTCGATGGTTTTGCGATGGACACCGTGACGTTCCCACACCAAGAATCAAGGAACGCCCTGGAGTCTCAGGGTTGGGTTTCTTGTGGAAGGTGTCTTGTGGACTGGCCTCTACTGTAACTCTTCACCGGTGGTCGGAACGTTGCCCAAAGCTTCGGGCGGCAAACGAGGCAGATGCTCAAAAAACCATGCCAGGTCCGCAGCGGGCACGATTGGCGCAGCCTCCTCCATCCCAGAGTGATCGACCCAACGATTGTGGTTCCCCATCCCGACCCAGTAACATATCGGGGGAGCGTAAGACCCGGGTTTGCCGGGACTCGGGTTCGCCACCGTTTTTTGACGACCGCGCCTCGGCTTTTGACAAGGAGGAGTTTCGTGGGACGTCTGCAGCGGGAGGCCTCGTCAAAATGCAGGCTCGGCCTCGTCATTTTTTTTGACGACCTCGTCGGGGATCTCCGAGTCCCCTGTACCCAGGTCTTACGTCCCCCTGAACACAGGCAGCGGCTTGGCAGCGAGCTCGCGGCGAGATCAGGCGCCCGTGGCGCGCAACTTTGGCAAGGGCCAACAAGTCACTGCGTGGCCAGGCCCTGGCCACCTCCGCCGCCAGGTCGGCCGCGTGCCGCTCGGCAGCCAGCCTGATACGAGGACTGACCTCTGCAGTATGCATATCCAGAGACAGACTACGGAAAGCGCCAAGACAAGCGGAAAGCCCCAACATACGCTTCCCAAGAGACAGCAACAGTACTAGCCTTCACCATACCCATATCCTTGTGAATGAGCTTGCCAAGAGAAGCCAATGGAGAGTCTGGAATAATCCAAGCCCGACCCTTCGAGCGCCCAAGCGAGAACCGCACCACTGCCTTATAGACGCATAGACCTTAGTAGTACCCCCAGCCACTGACCTGAGCAGTTCCACTGCAGCGCGGACTGCCAACCTTGGTGGATAGACCGAGGGCGACGCTGAAAGGTACTAAGGCAGCCTGAGCGAGGAGGGACGGAGCGAGGAGGGGGAGGAGGGGGAGGAGGGGGAGGGAGGCTGGGAGGGACGGAGGGAGGAGGGTGGAGGAGGGAGCGTGGGAAGAGGCGAAGGAAATGGGGGAGGGGGCGAAGGGGCGACCAGGGGGGCAAGCTTTTGGACGCGTGCTTGGCGTCATTGCCCCTGGTAGGCTTGCCACTCATTCTCTCCTTCGCATGGTGTTCCCCCACTGGCACCGCCGCTGCGTTTCCTAGCTGGGGGCAGGTAAGACCACAGTGCCAGTGAGATGTAGAAATGTACTCTTCCTTCCTTCCTTCCCCACATCTTCAAGGGTCTACTCAGATTCAGTTCGATATCGATTCCGAGAAGCTCGATCCGATTCGATTTCGATTTTCCGACGATCTGATGCGGGCCGATGTCTATATGGCGCTATTGCTCTATTGTTCTCGTCTTAGCGCAGCCGATCCCATTCGATTTCGATTGCGTGCCGATTCGGCCCGATCCGACGCACGTTCTTTTCCGATCCGATGTTCTAATTCGATGCTGACTCATCCTGTCCTCTTCCCGCTCATTCCGCTCCTGCCCCTCGTGAGAGGGAACAAAAAAACAAGGACTCCGGAGGACTGGCCCGCCCCTCCCGCTCCTCCCCTCCCTTCCTTCCCCACTCCGACAGTCTTGGCGGACTGTACTATCACTGTGGTGTTGGTTGCCCCGACGTCTCTTCGCCTAGGGCGACCTTTTTCTCACTTTTGCCGTGGCGCAGCAAGCTCGCGTAGGGCTGTGCTAAGCGCGGCACGGCCGACGGCGCTAGGAAGTGGCGGTCGGTCGGGGCTCTGGCTTGGTAACTAGCCTGGCGCGGTGGAGCATGTGACGGCCATCTCGATGTCCGAGGCCATGCGGCATCCGGCTGGCGTAGCGACGATTTCGAAGAATCGGTCGGAGAGAGCGCGAGAGGAAGTTGAAATGCGAAGGCAGTTCAGAACTTGATTACCAGTCGGTATTCCTACAGCTCCTGCTTGCCACTAGGAATACTAATGAGCGAGAGTTGAGGTGCCAGAGCGACGAAGGAGTGGCAGGGCACGGGGCAGGAATGCATGGCAAGCGCAAGAGGAGCGCGGGTCCATGGGTGAGAGGGCGTTGGCACGCAGTGGGCGTAAGGTGCAGAGGGGGAGGGGAGCGGGGGGGAGCGGACGAACATTTGCCCACTGTTGTGTGGGAGGCGTCCCGCGGGCGCGTTCACGTTGCGCAGCCAAACGGGGCGCCAGTCCACGACGGTCTGAGGGCACCTGTCGACGAGCTTACACCAGCTCTTACATCTCCACCAGAAGGAGGAGGAGGAGGAGGAGGAGGAGGAGGAGGAGGAGTGCGCGAGTTGGGCCGAGGCGAGTTGAGGTGAGGTGCGCGGAGGGAGTCGCGCACGTCTCCGCACTCCCCAGACCCCGCGTGGTTGCGGGATTGGCGCCCGCCGATCCAGCTTCCCCGCCCCTGCTGTCACACAGATGCAGCCGAAAATGCGTTCGTTCACCGCGCTGTGCAAGGAGGAGGATGACGACGGCGGCGGCGGCGGCGACGACGGTGACGGCGAGGGCAACGGCGGCGACCACGACGAGGACGGAGAGGTAGGCAGCGGAGCAGAAAAGCAAGAGGATGAGAAACAGGAGGGGGGGAGAAGCAGGAGGAGGAAGAGGCAGCTGCGGATGAAGAGGACGAGAACGATGTTTTCTTGACTTCCTTGTTTTGCCCTGCCCATCCACCCCCCACCCCGCACCCCCGAGTCATCTTGCTGTTCCTCCGGTACTGCCCTCCCGTTGCCCGCCCGCCTGGGACAATAACTAATTGGGAGGATGGAGGAGAGAGGAGGGAGAAGAGGGAGGAGGGGAGAGAGGAGGGGTATTATTGGTTCTTTTGGCAGTTCCCGGTCAGGACGGATGAACGCGTCAGTGTTCTCTTTCGTCCAAGTTGGTGCATCATTATAGTTAACCGAACATTAGAAATCAAACGAAGTTCGAGCATGTGCAATTTTGCATCACTTAAATCGAATGCCAGCCAACGTGAACCCAACACAGAGTATTCTAAGAGAGTGCGTGGTGCAACAGATGTGGTACAAGCTACGTGGTGTACTTTATTTGGTGCCCTTCACCTTGCCGAACTTGGTTCAACTTGAGATTGTCGTTTCCGCTGCTCGCGCAATCATTCCATCCACCCTGAGCTTGGCTTGCAAAACCCATGCGGAAGCGATTGCGATGAGTCTTTGGTGTTGGCTGGTGCATCTGTGCGGCCGCGCTAGCCCGCGCATGCTCGCACGCGCAGCGGCCAGCTAGTTTGGCGCGACCAACGCGAACGCGGTGGCGCTGACCGCTCGGCACATCCCAGCGGGCATTTCGGTGCGGGTCGGCGACTTGGGCGGGCGTGCAATCATGGCAACGTCGACAGAGGTAGAAACGATGATGAAAGTAACGATGTTGGCGCCGATGCTGATCACGCTGACGACGATGACGGCGTCCTCGCGTCGGCGATGAAGGTTTTGGAAAAATGTTCGACATGCGCGTGCGGTCGATGCGCGAGACTGGCCCGCAGGATATTATTTCCGGCACGCGCGCAAGGGCGTGCGATTGGGCGTCGCGTGCTAGGGGGTCGTAAATGGGGGGTGGCGAGGGTGGTCCGAAAAAAGGTACCCAAACGGTACCTAAACGAGCCTCCTGGGGCCCCGCAGGGGCCCGAAAGGGACATGAAAGGGGACCGTTTCTGACCCCCCCATTTATGACCCACCCATCGAGGCACGACCAATGCGGTTGATGTCGGCATGCGGCGCAAGAGGCCCACCTGGCAGAATTCAGTGGCAATGTAGAAGAAACCTACGGCTTCCCAACATAATCGTTAGGAGACATTTGTTGCGAACCATGAGTTGTTGTATGGTTTCGGGGCACTCGATTTTGAAATCGCTGCGAAGCTGAAGGTTTTTTTGACGGATTTCGGCACGCGCGCGACGACGCGCGCGCGCGTGCACTTCCCTTTTTTGTGGGCAACGGATTATCGCGACGGCGCGCGCGCAAGGGCGTTCAAACGATTTTGTACATACGCGCGCGGAAAAAAAAAACGATGGTTTTCTTCAGCATTTGCAACAGCGCGCGCGCAAGCCTCTTTGAAAATCCGCGTGGCGAAACCTTGATTATGAAATCCCTACGAAACCGGAGGTGTTGTAAGGATTCCGGCACGCTCGCGCGACAACGCGCGCGTGCGCACTTCGTCCCACGAGTGCGCGCACTGTATGTTTCCCAACCTGTTTTTTGGGGGTGTGGTTTTCTTCCCTGCCGCGTCGCACCCGAGTCTCCCTCACTCCCCCTCTTCTCCTCCTCCTCCCCCTCCTCATCCTCCTCCTCGTCCTCCTCCTCCTCCTCATCCTTTTCCTCCTCCTCATCCTCTTCCTCCTCCTCCTCCTCCTCCTCCTCCTCCTCCTCCTCTTCCTCCTCATCCTCATTATCCTCCTCCTTTCTTATTCCAAGCGCAGCACATGCACTGCACGTACATGAAAGATGCCATATGCGTTTACATACAGACGCACGTTTGCACACACTCGGTGACACGCGTACACACTAACAACGGCAGTACGTTCCGATCGTGCTCATTACATCATACACCCACGACGTATGCGCCACATACTGAGCACACACATGAGACACACGTCCACATACAGCCGCACACGCATCAGGCACATACACACGACACGCGATGTACAAGACGTGCGTGTGTCGGATTCGCAGTGCATGGCAGGCGTGACATTTTCTCGACACCGGAGGGATTGCGTTGGGGGTGGTCTCCTTATCCGCTGCGGGCTTGCAAAGCGTGGCAGGCGTGGCATTTCCTCGGCACCATAGGGGGTGCGTTGGGGGTGGTCTCCCTGTCCGCTTCGGGCCCCCAACATATGGCACGCGTGGCATTTCCTCGACACCAGAGGGAGCGCGTTGGGGGTGGTCTCGCTCTCCGTTTCGGTTTCGCAAAGCGTGACAGGCGTGGCAGTTCCTCGACTCCGGAGGGGGGTGCGCTGGGGGTGGTCTCTGGTATCCCTATCCGTCTCGGGCCCCCAAAGCGTGGCAGGCATGGCACTTCCTCGACACCGCAACGGGGTGCGCTGGGGGTGATCTCCCTATCCGTTTCGGGTTCGCAAAGCGTGACAGGCGTGGCATTTCCTCGACTCCACAGGGGGTGCGCTGGAGGTGGTCCCCCTTATCCGCTTCGGGCTCGCAAAGCATGGCACGCGTGGCAGGTCCTCGACACCAGAGGAAGCGCGCCGGGGGTAGTCGCCCTATCCGCTTCGGGCTCGCAAAGCGTGGCAGGCGTGGCACTTACCCGACACCGCAGGGGGTACGCTGGGGGTGGTTTCCCTATCCGTTTCGGGCTCGCAAAGCGTGGCAGGCGCGGCACTTCCTCGACCCCACAGGGAGTGCGCTGGAGGTGGTCCCCCTATCCGTTTCGGGTCCCCAAAGCGTGGCAGGCGTGGCACTTCCTCGACACCGCAGGTGGTGCGCTGGGGGTGGTTTCCCTATCAGTTCCGGGGTCGCAAGGATGGCGGGCGCGGCACCTCCTCGACGCGCTCGGGGCGGTCTCCCTATCCGTTTCAGCTTCGCAAAGCATGGCAGGCGAGTTGGGCGCTGTCCGATGCTTTTCGGCGAAGATCTCCTTCCACGTCCTGCGTGGCCAAGATGCATGTTGCCGCCTTGGAAAAGGACCCTCGGTGACCTCCTCTCCCCCTGACCAGCGGCGCCAATGGCGTCGGCGGGGCAGCGGCTGCCAGCGTCGTGCTCGCATGTTTCACTTCAGCTATCATCGCTCCATACAGAATACGAGCATGCGGGGGTTCCTCGGTAGCGTAGTTTCGCAGGGGGCGGCGGGGGGGCGGGAGGTGCCCCACACACACACACACACACACACACACACACACACACACACACACACACACACACACACACACACACACACACACACGCACACACCACCCTGGGATCGTGTAAATATTTTTCTATAGAGATGCACGATGGACGGCGGGGCAGAACCGCAAGCAATTTGCAGCGCGCAAAGGGGGGCCGATCATCCTTGGGGGGGGGGGGGGTAGAGTATATCTTTCCCTTCAAATGGGGGACGTTCGCAGCGCAGCCCACGCGGCGCAGGCTTCGCGGCGCAATGCGCAGGTGGCGCAAGACAGCGGCGCATTCGGCGCGGCTCAATTCACTCGGCGAACTTGAGGTTGTCAATTCCATTGCTCGCGCAATCGCCCCGCCCACCCGCCCGCAACCTCGCCTGCAAAGCCCATTCGGGAGCGATTGCGCTGGGCGCTCGGCATTGGCTGGTGAGTCTGCGCGGCCGCGTGAGCCCGCGCAGGCTCGCGCGCGCAGCGGCCGGCGAGTTTGGCGCGACCGACGCGAGCGCGGCGGCGCTGACCGCTCGGCACATCTCAGCGGGCACTTGAGTGCGAGTCGGCGACTTGGGCGGGCGCGGCGCCATGGCCACGCGGGCAACGGTAGACGCGAAGAGGATTTCGGCGACGCTGGCGACGATGCTGACGGCGACGACGGGGCAGACAGCGGCGTCGCCGATGCTGATCACGCCGACGACGATGACGGCGTCTTCGCGTCGATGATCGAAGGTTTGGAACGATTTCGACATGCGCGCGCGGGGCCCGTTTGGTAGCATTCTCTAGACATGTTGAACAAAAAACGCTGCGACACTTCGCTTGTTCTCATCTTCGGGGCGCTAGATTTGGAAATCCTCGCGACACCGAAGGCTCTCGGCGGATTGCGGCATGCGCGGGCGACGACGCGCGCGCGCGTCGCCGCATATTTTTTCTGAGGGGCAAAAATTACGCTACCGAGGAACCCCACATACTTAATTTAAATATTATGTGTTTGCTTATGTATATACTATATATAAATATATATGC